TCATAAAAGAAATACTTTAATAAATTCCTACATCATATAGAAACCATCCCAGAAGACAATTTTTTTTTCTGTTTTTTTTTTCCAGTGAGTATATGATGTATTGAACATAGTCAGCAAACACAAACTTCAGAGACACTTCTTCCAAAGAAGATATTTATCACTGATTCTCAATTTTGCAGATTGGTCTTAGATTGGGACACACTTTATGAGTGGTAGAAAAGTATTTGTTAACTTGCCTACTGACTAATATCCCTGATACTGCCAGAACACACATGGATGAAGTCAGCATGAGGACACATTTATTGTCTTAGTTACAACTGTGAATACTTTCAAGACATAAAATATGACCCACTTAGCCTTGCAGTTGCTGTTAGAAGATGTGGGGACTAGGTGTGAAGGGGTCCATGTTCTTGTCACTAACTCAGGAAAGAACACATGAATGGGACTCAGACAAAAGCCACTGAGCAGCAGGTTTTAAGCACAGAGCAAGACTGTACACCCAGAGCAGGGTCTGGGCAGGAGGCAAACATCAGTTCCTAAAGTGCCCAGGGTCTTAAGAGTCTTAATCATGCTTTTCCAACTCAGAATGACTCCTTTACTAATGGGAAGGGTCATTGACCATGATCAGGGTGGCAATTTGTTCACACACATGCAATTGATTCTCTGGGCTGATAAAGGTCTTAAGTTATCAACAATGACAAAAAAAAAATCATCTTGGTGGGGCAGGGGTGGGCATGTGGCCTAAAGAGAAAGATGTTTATTATGGTGACTTTACACTACATTGGAATACCTCAATTCAATTTATGGCTCTGAATTCTGAATCTATCTTCTTACCAGTAAAGACCCTGGGAGGCAACAAGTCATGGCTCAAGAACCTTAGTTGCTGTCACCACTGTGAGAGGTCTGAATTGAACCCTTGGCCCCAAGCTTCAGCCTCCTGGCTGCTGCAAACATTTGAACGACTCTCTCTCAAATAAATAAATACTTCTTGAAATAAAAATCACTTAATCACCCTAGAGAACCGGACAAAAAGTTTTCCTTGTCTCTGGTTCATTTTTATTTCTCTCAGCTAAAAATAATTCTTATGTCACGATAGCATGCTCGGGCATGGTATCCTGTGAATTCCTTCAAAGAAAATAGAAAAAATCCCAAACCCAGAGTTTTGAGCCCATTAAAATGATTCCTATGTAGAAGGAAGATGGTCCTTTGATTATCAGATTTGGGGATCAGCCAGAAACTGCTGCAGTCCTTATTAAAGAAACAGATTGCATGTAATCACAGGAAATGAATCAGTAAATACTCAGACAAGGACTCTCAAACTCTCTGAAAAAGTAACTATCACCATGTTCCATCTGGAGTTCAACCATGTGGAGACTCATGTGACTGACAGGCAATTTCTGTGTGTGGCTAACATCACTCTCAATTGTTGCAGATAAATAAAACATCAAAGAGTTCCTTCCTTGTGCAGTGGGAAGGGAGAATGTTCAGAGAGCTAACATAATGAGGAAGCTCCCCAAACTTGACTGGCTAGAGCCTGGAGCAAAATGAAAGCTTCAAGGAGTCTCTGAGCCACAGAAAGTGTTAGGAAGTAGTGAAGTCTCTCCCAACAAGTAGCACAGACTCATCAATCTTGTGAGGATGTCAGAACAGAATATAGCTGATTATTTGGAGACACATATACTGTTTTCTGGCTCCAAGTACAATACAACATTCTAACAAACTAACAGTTTTGTAAAGTTTTCCCATAAATCAAGTAAGGAATGCTCTAATTAAAGACAAATGTTATCAGCATAAACAGATATCATTCTATATGGTGAAGAGTAGGTTATTTCCCCCCAAGTTATCTATGTAATTCTTTGTCTGTTTAGGTATGACTTTCTCATCACTTCTCAGCCTTTTGGCTAAGATCAAGTGTAGGTATGACTTTCTCCTCTACTATTAAAATTGGGGAAATTAAAATGGTAAAAAAAAATTCTCTTGGAGATTTCCATTGTAAGAGAGGGAAAAAAAAAAACTTTCCTCCATTGCAACCCAGGCTTAATGAAAGGACCTCCAGATCAAACTGATAAAATCTCAACAAAAGGTTTTAATTACACATATATTCATGAGCATTTCACAAAGAAATGATACCTAAAGCTGCCAGATAATTGGGGCTTTTAAGTCATCTTAAGCTAAATGAAGGAAAATGGCTTGGGAATTCCAGAAGAGAATGCCAAGTAAGGAAAGCGGGATTTAGGGGGTGTAGAGGTGTTTTATGAAAAAGGCTCATCTTGGATTCAGGTCAGAGTCTCACAGGTGGTAACAATTATCTCGTGGAAATAAAGAAAAGCTCTATTATTGGTATAGACAGAACTTTATACATAAAAATTTTCTTTACAAATACAAACAACTTACAAATAGGGAAATTGTACTCTAAAAGAATTGCTCCGGTAAAGTCCTTTTTCAATATTCTTTACAAATATAAACATCATTAACAAAAAGGGGAATTGTGCTCTACTTTTAGGAAGTTAGAGAATGGTTATGTATACTAGTTCTCCTTTACTTTTCACTCGAAATGATTCATATGCCAAAGACGAATACTTGGAGATGGCATATTCTGATTCCCATCATCATTCTCCGTCTAAAGAGCCCCATCCCTATGGGAGAAATCTCTTCATCATTAGGATCAACTCTTGACTCCTTACTTGAAACCAGCCACTCATTCCCTATAATGAATTGCATTAGGTGTCACTCTGCCCTGCAAACTTTTCACCAGCAAACCTATTCTCTGAAAATGGAGTCAAAGGCAAGTTACAGAATTGGAAATGTTAACAATCAGCCTTTTACTCATGTCCACTGCAGGACCTTCAAACATTTTATTACTTAAATTCCTTTAACTATTTCCAGGTTCCATTAAATATTAACCGGAGTTTGATTTATAAGTTTGAGTGGAAATAATCTTAACTTGCTCTAGAAACTCAATTTGTTTTACATGTTATCAGACAGAACATATATGACAGAATGTATTCTTTACTGCCCTAATTCTAGCAGAATATTCCTGGAGAGTCATTTATTCAGAAATACTTACTGCTGGTTCTCAATTTGCCAAGTTTATTAGGCCTTAAGGATAAGAAAAAGAATAGCATGAGGGTTGAAAATAACTTTTAAAAATCAGTTATTGGGACAGGCCATTGACACAGCAGTTAAGAAGCAGCTTGAAATGTCTACATGCTCTATTGGAATGCCTGATTCAACCCCAAAGCCTGGCTTATGATCCAGCTTCCTGTTAATTCACACTCAAGGAAGCAGCAAGCAATGATTCTGTTACTTGGAATGTCATGCTTCTGGCTTTGGCACGGCCCAATTGTGGCTGTTGTAGACATTCGGGGAATGAACCAGCAGATGAAAGGTAGTCTCTGTCTCTCCCCTGATTTTTTTTGAAAGGCAATGAATTTAACATTTGCATCTGAAATCTAGTTCCGTTTCAATGGAACTGAATGTCTTGCTCTTTCATGTCATCCCTCTTCCTTTTGATAGTAACATTATTTTTATATTTATTAATAAATAATACTGTGTTTATGCTAAACAAAGAACTTTTGTTGTTTAGTAACATGTTTTGAAGTATTCATCTGAAATTTACACTAATCCAGAAAGTGGGAAGGAGTGGAGAAGGAAACAGATGAAGCAAAAATAGGCAGATGGTGATTAGTGTTAGAGCTGGGGGATGTGCCTGTGGAAATTCTAAGATTAGTCTCACTTTTGCTGCAGGTGCTTGAAAATTACAAAATAAAGAATTCCTATTGTAATTAAAAATAAGTTTAAAAGTTTACAGTTATTATGAATTGAATTTTTTGTACAAAATACAAATACAGGTTTCAGAATAACTGCATATTAAGAATGTTAAAAGAAATTTAAAAACTAAAATGAATTTAAGTTATATCTTTTCTAACCTAAAATGTAATTAATATCATTTAAACCTAACTTGCTACCATATGGAGGTTGGTGTTTAGCTAAAAATACCTGAGTTTGATTCCTGTCTCTGGCTTCTGACAGTTTCCTACTTTTGCAGACACTGGGAGGCAGTCTCCACTGCTTTCCCAAGCCACAAGCAGAAAGCTGGATGGAAGTAGAGCAGCTGGAACACAAACTTGTTTTCATTGCAAAGTCAGACATACCAAGGAGGAGAGACAGAGAGGAAGATCTTCCATCCGATGATTCACTCGCCAAGTGGACGCAACAGCCACAGCTGAGCCGATTCCGAGAGCCCAGAGCCTCTTCCAGGTCTCCCATGCTGGTGCAGGATCCCAAGGCTTTGAGCCATTCTCAGCTTCCTTCCCAGTCCACAAGCAGGGAGCTGGATGGGAAGCAGGGATACTGGTGCATGCAAAACAGGTCTTTAGCTACTAGGCTACTTTGCAAGGCCCTAAAATGCAAATTCTAATATTTCCCCAGGGCATTATATCATTGAATAGATTAGACCACAAGTCACTTACTTTACTGTTTTACTCTCACTCACCAGCAGAAGGAGTAAAAATTCACATTCAACAGACTCCAAATCCCAAAACCAAGGACGGATTAAAGCAAGAATTTAAGTTCTATATTTTCATAAAATAGGAGTCTGAGAGGCAGAGATTACATGTGCAAATGACAGCTGTTTGTCTGGCCGATGGTGTGCCCAGTTAAACAATTCAAACTTGCTGACTTCCAGGACTAACTGGTTTCCATGACCACTATGGCTGTTTGTTTCAGAAAACATTGTGTTCGCTTCCCATCCAACTGGATGGTTAGGAGAAATGCTTCAAAAACCCAATATCAGTTACATACAAGCAAGGCTGATGACCATCATTTTAAGGTTAATTTTATCTGGCTATGATGAGACAATTGGTGATAGTATTCCCTAAGATTATCATTTATTTAATGTTATACCTCAAACACAAAGAAAATGTAAATGTTAACAAAAGGAAAACTTAGAGATAAAAGGAATATATTTTTAAAGCTTTTTTTGGGGGTGGGTTCAGTCAAAAAATATGGAACACTTCACGAATTTGCGTATCATCCTTGCACAGGGACCATGCTAGCCCTCTCTGTATTGTTCCAATTTTAGTATATGTTCTGCCAAAGCAAGCACCAATCTTTTTTAAGATACTTATTCTGTTTATTTGAAAGGCAGAGTCACAGAGGAGAAGGGACAAAGAGAACTTCCTACCTTTGGTTCACTCCCCAAATGGCTGCCAACAGCCAGGACCACACCAGGCTAAAGCCACAGCCAGGATTTTCATCCAGGTCTCCCACATAGGTCCTAGGGCCTAAATCACTTGGAGCATCTTCCTCCATTTTCCCAGGCACAACAGCAGGGAAATGGATAGGCTCAGATAAGGGATGTGTATGCTTCAGGACATGGCTTGACCCACTATACCACAAATGCTGGTCCTTCCAAATCATTTTAATACCAGCCAAACTGACAAGCTCTATTTGTCCACACTAATGTAACTTTAACAATGGAACCTTAGGGAAGGCATATCTCACAAGAGTCTGATGATTTGTTTTAGTGGAAGATCAGAAAATCCTCTTGCATTGCACCTATTATTTCTTTTTTTTTTTTATTGTTGCTTACATTGTATTATGTAGTACAGTTTTATAGGCGCTGGGGATTCCCCCCACCCCTCCCATACCCCTCCCCCCATGGTGGATTCCTCCACCTTGTTGCATAACCATAGTTCAAGTTCAGTTGAGATTCATTGCTTGCAAACACATGCCTAGCATAAAGTTCAGCGTCTTATTGTCCAGATAAGTCCAGTGGCCTCTTGGGGAGACCTTCTATGGTCTGAAGATAGGTCTAACAGAGTAAAGATCCGGTCAGTTACTTACATTCCTTCACCTTAAACTCTTCAATAAGTCAAGGTGCTGTCCTTTGGGGGTATGTGTCCTAAATCCTATCACTATCTAAACTGACTCAGCAAAAGCAAACCTAGGGTTGAGACCCAGTTGAGAAGAGGGCTCAGAGGAGGCTAATTGAAGCTTGGCTGAGAACCTTGCCCATGCTTTATAGTTTGAACTATAGATTCCTCAATAGCTAAACAACTGAAAATAATTATGAAGGGATCCGTTTGCAAATGTAAGTATGCAAAACCACAGGTATAAGTTGCTGCTTCTGACCACAGACAAATCTGGGGTTCAAAACATGATACTCCAGAGTATGGTACCTTGGTATACTGAGTATTTTGTATTGAAGAGCTTTGGGAGGGCTGCAGAAGCAGAAAGGTGCCTCTGATCTCCTGACCTCCTGTCTGCCATCTCCTTTTTTCCTCTTAAAAGTGTCACAGTCACTAGAACTGTCCTGCCTTGAAGCAAGCCATGAAACACATGGTCCCTCTCTGAGTTCCTCTCAGCACCCAGAGGATGTTCATATGATGGGTGCAAAGGTCACCCAGAAACTCAGAAGGTAGATGAATAAACATGATTGGCTGGGTTCTCTCCAGCTTAATGTCATTAAGCCAGCCACATTCCCTTTTGTTTTATTCATATTTCTCCACAGTTGTCCACTTCTTTCATCAGATTTAGCATAAAAGTACATCAGTTTCCCCTGCATCTTTGGGTCTTCATTTCTGAAGATTCTGGTGTCAAATAAAATTTTAGTAAATAAATTTGCTGTGCTTTCCTTTTGTTAACCTTTTGTTATGAGTTGTAAAGTCATGACTCTTGCAACCGGTGAAGAAGAGATTGCTTTTTTCTATCCTACAGGGTTGAAACGACCATTTTTAAAAAATGCTTGAGTCACACTGCAAAATTTCGCTTTTTCTCTGAGACTCTAAAGATAGAATTAAACAAGCATTTTATAAATTGTTCAAGAAGGCAATATATAGGTCACTGAAAGCAAAGTCATTTTCAATTATTTTTCTTTGCCAAACTTCAATTTAAACCTTATAATAGCCATATCAAGGAAGGATTTTTTTTTATGAGTTGAATGCACTCTTCCAAGTTGGCTGCCAGTTACACAGCTTTAGGTGCTCCCACTAATAGCCTATTTTGTGGATAACATGCAGCATTATAAGAGTTATATGAAAACAAATGTGTGTTTTTTTTCTCTTTGTTATGAAACTGAGTCCAGAGAAATGATACTGAGAACTTTGGGGGAAAGACTTTACATATGTACATTTCTGCTGGCATTTTCTCTATATTAAAACCTTAGTGGAATAATTCCAACTTTCATATTTAGTCATCAGTTCTGGACATTTTGCACTTAGCATTCTCCACACCAGCTTCTCATAGCCTCCTCTCTCAAAATCTCCAATCCAGATTCTGAATCAGGATGTCTGGGGTACAGATTGGGATCCAGATATTTAACCAAGCATTCCAAGTGATTTTTGTAATTAAAAAGTTTTGGGAAGGAAAATATTTAAATTTAGTGCTTGAAAGATGTTGAAAATAAAACTAAGGATTTATTTTTCATGTATTTAATTGGTAAGAAGACTGATTATCTTGTCATATATATAGGTCATCGTTACTGCTTTCTTTGTGATTGTCAGCATCCTTTGTCTAGGTTTAAAATTTTATTTTTATGTATTTGAAAGGCAGAGAGACTGGAAGAAAGAAAGAAAAAAAGAGACAGGGAGAAATGACTCCCCTGTCTGCTTAGTTCATTTCTTAAATGTCTGCAACAGCCAGGACTAGGGCAAGGCAAAACTAAAAGCCAAAAGTCAGAGAAGCCTGGAACTCAATCCAAGCCTCCCATCATCACCTGTTGCCTTCCAGGTGCACATTAACAATAATCTAGAACTGCCAGTGAAGCTGGTTCTTGAGTCCGGGATTCCAATACAGAACATGGCCATCCCAAATAATCTTTTAATCACTGCACAAAAAGCCTGTTCTCAAACTATGGATTCGAAAGAATGCAAACACTTCTAAAGAGGACAGTCAAGCAGTCACTCTCTGCAGAGGCAGCAAGGACACAGTACTCACTGAGGTAGTCTTGGATCTCAATGCACAGTGCTGGAGGCCTGAAAACCCTTCCACAAAGACGTGGGGGTGAAGGAAGCACACTTTTTGAGGAAAAGCAAGAAATCAGGAATTCTTTCATTGCTTTTTTAAGCTTTAAAATAGCTCAAAAGATTACTGGTTGTTTTAAGACTAAGTTTTTGCTATCACCATCCACTTTTCAAATAAGATAAAGAACACCTAGGAACTGCTAGAGACATTTTAGTGATTGTACAAAGACAGCAAATAGGCAAGAATGTGTGGGTTTTTGCCTAAAGGGTAGATGACCTCCCTATAAAACTTTGACTGAAACAAAGTTCCATTCTCATAACTTCTTCCCTGCAGGAATATCGGCTTAAGCAGATTGAGTGAACGGAGCATGGTGTCCAGAACTGAGTGCCTGCAACTGACTCAAGCAAAGTAGGCACAGAAGCCCCAGGATGTCACAGAGCTGCTAGCAGGTGGCAATCACAAGTACAGTATCTTGTAAAAATCTCTTTGTACTTTCAATACAAACAAGACTCAAGAAAGCTTGCCTTTAAAAAGGCAAACCATTGTTAAGTGTACCATTTGGGATGAAGAGGAAAATAATATAATCATTCCTTCTGAAATAAATGCTGTTAAAATGGTGCATGAGGCACAGAGATGCCTTGCATTTGAATATCTTGTCCCTTTATTAACAATCTGTACTGGTTGCATGATGATGAGCCCAGAAGTTTTTTCTTAACTGTTTCTGTCAAATTGGGGGGGGGGGAGATCAGATCAGGTAGGGAGTATGGTTCTCAGAATTTACACTCCCAAAGAATGACAATCACTGTAAGAGAACAGAATACGTTATTCCACATATCCCCTCTGGCATAATGATTCGCTTGAACTTTTTTTTTTATTTTTAGAAAGTGTAGACATAGGAGAAGTTTAAAAACAGAGCAGAAGCCATACTTTTGTCAGAAATACTCATTTATGTTGGGGCTAGCAAAATGGCACAGTGGGATTAAGTCACCACCACCTGCAATACCGATATACTGATATTGGCGCCTATTCAATTCCAGGTTGTTTCACTTCCAGTTCAGTTTCCTGCTAATAAACTTGGTAAAGCAGCCAAAAATGGCCTAAGTCTCTGGACCATATCCTCATGTTGGAGAGTGGCTTACACTCATAGCCCAGCCATTGTTACCATTTGGAGAGTGAACCATTTGGAGAGATCTCCCTCTTCCATGCTGTTTTTCTTGCCTTCTTTCCCATACCTCTGTCTTTCAAATAAGCATGCAAATACTTTTTAAAAAGTCATTTTTATTAAGGGTATCTTCATTTGGAAAATTCTCTGTACCAGGATAATGATGATTGAATCTCCAGCATCGGTCAGTCTGTCTGTATATATGTCTCTCTCCCTCTCTCAGAGGATTCTTTAATTTATTTGAATGTCATAGTGGTATACAAAGAGGAAAAACATAAAGAATGAGATCTTCCATCCACTGGCTCACTCTGCAAATACCTCAAAGGGTTTTAAAAAAAAAAAAAGAGCCTGGAACTCCATCTGGGTCTCCCAAGTGAGCGACAGGGAATCAAACACTTGGACCATATTTTACAGCTTTTCGGTCACATTAGCAGGAAGTTGGATCAGAAGCAAAGCAGCCAGAGGAAAATAACCAGCACACACATGAGATTTCAGTGGCTTCTTTGTTACAAAGCTGGTACATAAGGTCTCTTAAATGATGGAAAATGAACTGCTTAGCAAATCTTACCCTCATGTACTATGCTTTTCCTCATCACTCGTGCCTTTCTTCCTGTTTCAGCAAGCAATTATATTTAATTCTGAATCTCTCTACTTCTACCCTGGAAATGTACTTGTTTCCATGGGTTTTGTTTATATATGAGGTACACATGCTAATAAATTTCTGTATGTTTTTCCCTTGTTAATCTATCTTTGGTTACAGGGAGCTCCATCTAAGAACCACAAATAGAAAAAAAATTCCCTCCCATACAGAAGCAGGTGACTGTGTCTGTTTCATGAAAGAGCTCAACACTGGTGCTAAGAACAGAGATAATGCTTCTTCGAAAGCAGGGACAGCCCCTTGCCTTCTAACTTATTCCAGCTTCACTCCCATCCCTAGACCTGGATCCCTGAAAGACTGAGGAACTATCCTTTCATAATCT